TTTATTTATTTATTTGTTCTTTTTGAGACAAGGCCTTGCTATGCAGTTCAGGCTGGTATTGAGCTCACTTTGTAGCCCAGGCTGGCCTTGAACTCGCAACAATTCTTCTGCCTCAGCCTCCTGAGTGCTGGGATTACAGGCGCCACCATGCCTGGCTCTCTCTATATATTTTAAAGTTCCCTTGCTAGCTTATTCTACTCATGTACTTCCATGCTCATGTTTTTGAGTTGGATAGGATATCATTCTTCACCTATAACTTTAGTTAATATTGGCATGTGCTTTCTGCTCCATTTCTGTTCCCTGATCTCAGGAACAATGCTTCTGTGCCACTGTGCCCTGGTCATGGTGACCCTCCTTCATAAACAATATTTTATGTTTTAATTTTTTATGCTTTGTTATTCTCTTACTTCTTTGAGGAATCACCCTCAGAGGGACACTCTAGCATAGATCAGTCAAGGAACAAAGCTAAAGACTCTAGATATTCTGTCCACACTGGAAAAATAGTTAAAGAGCTCTCACAGTGCTCACCCTATTTTAAGGCAAAGCCCTGCACTTCAGGATTTTTCTGCAACACTCTCAATAAGATAGTCTTTAAAAATAGCGGCCAGTGAAGTAACAGAATCTATTGAGGATAGCATGCTTATTCTCCTATAAACCAGCAAGGAATTTTGTTATTCAGAATCCTACAAAATACATAAAACCATAAGTACTATGCACACATTACCTACTCTGTTAGTTAATTTTATGTATCTAATTGGCTAGGCATTGTGCCCATTGTCAGTAAAGACAAACCTACATAGTTTGTGGATATAATTTTTTAAAAATGTGATTGACTGTTAAATTAGAAGCCTTCAGATAAAGCTGGTTGTTTTCATTGTGATTGGTTTAAGAGCAGTTAGTAGGCAAATCCACTATGCAGAAATCCATGTGTCCCAATTGTGTTCTAAGCGGACACAAAAATGCCACTGTTAAAGGGGTCGAATTCATTTGAAAGTTCAATATTTCAAAAGCAATATTTCAAACACTTAAGGTTTAATTGTTTGATCAATCTTGTATGCCTATATTTGTTTATTTGAGTAACCATTTTGAAGACAACAATATGTAATACAACAACCATTATTAATTTCCTATCACCTTGTCTGAAATTCTGTTTTGTTTTTATGTTACTTTATTTCTGTCTGTGTGTTTGTTAATATGTTTTTGTTCTTCTGTCCTTGAAATTAAAAAAGCACTATTTCAAAAGCAGAATAGAGTCTAAATAGCTTTTCCCATTTGTAGATGATGTGTAGCTGAATGTATTTGATCAGAAGTTTAAAGTGTGATGATAATGCCAGAAACTTTTGATCCAGAGTTTGCTGTATTGCAAATTTTTATTCATGGTATTTAGGACCCTCTTTCAGTAGCACATGATAAACTTATAAATATAAAATATGGTTAGAAGACCCTGGAAGGTGCACCTGTAAATAAGGAACCCTGAATCTTCCCCTTACGAGCTCAGTGGTGAGTAGACCTGTGGGTGGGGCCAGAATGGGAACGCAGGCTTCCAGTTCTGAATCCGGAGCTTTGCACCATGGCCTTCCCTATTATTGGGCACAAGTGGCCAAGTTAGTTTACTGGAAAAATTGGTGTTCACAGTTGTTATGGCTTGAATCTGTGTGTCCCCCCAAAGCCTCATGCGGCCATGGGGCAGGCTTTTAGAGTTTGAAGGGTGTGAGAGCTGCACCCGCCCTGGGGTGGATAGTTTGCATATGTCAGGGAGAGGAAGAGAGTGCTTGAGGCCATTCCTGCCCCATTCCGCCCTGGTGTGTGGTTGTTGCTTTTGCTGTGTTCTGCCGCCATGAGCTGTAGCTCTCTGCCATGTGCCACTCTGCCTTATAATCCTCCAAGTAGGGACTGAAACCTCCATGAACTGTAAGCGAAATAAACCTTTCCTTCCTTAATTTTGGGCGTCAGGTATTTTGTCCCAGCAGTGAGAAAAAAAGTAACCAAGACAACAGTGCAGTATTCTGATAGCAGAAATTATCTGATAGCAGAAATCTAAAAATCTTTAGACTATTTGTCCCATTTCTTGGTGTTGTATCATTTTAAAGTTGAAGAAAGTAACCTCCCAGAGGTTTCTGTAGTTTGTTTAAATCATGCAGTCAATAAACACAAGGATGTTATTTTTGTGTGTCTTTTTGAGACAGGGTCTAGCTATGCAGTGCAGGCTGGCCTAGAGCTCACTTTGTAGCCCAGGCTGGCCTCGAACTCGCAGTGATTCTCCTGCCTCAGGCTCCCAAGGGCTGGGATTACAGGTGTGTGCCACCACCCCCAGCTGACAAGGATGTTATTGAATTCAGTGAGAACTGAATCTGGAGTTGGCACTTATGTGGACTAGTTTGCATTTTCTCTTAACTAGTGAAAGTTTGAGTGTTGCAGAACATGTAAAATGATGTTTAACTTGTGCTGAGGATGTAATGCATTGTTCACCAAAGGAAGGCTACTTTCAAGCTCATTTTTGAAGTGTTGCAATCTGAATGAAAAGCAGCCTGACTGAAGTACTTGTGCACGTGTGTGTGTGTGTGTGTGTGTGTGCGCGCGCATCAGCAACAATAATACTTGCTGCCTTGATGGACTGATAATAAAATCTTAGTTACATCATACAGTAGAAGTCTGTTTAGGATTCACATAAAATCCGTTAAAGAGACAGGGGTGGGCGTGGGCTTGTGCTCTTGGAAACTGTCATCATTAATGCCATTTCTAAGGTCACTTAGAGCAAAATTATCTGACTGTTAAAAGGGGAAAAGATAATGGAAGTTATGGAGGGCAATTCTGGGGCCATCCTCTGGAAGTGAGTTATTCTTAAATTCTGCATCTTCCTTGCTGCAGCTTAGTCACGTGGCCATAGCAAGAGATTGGGTGTTTAGACCAGCTGTGTGCCCAGGAGGAAAGGGCAGTGGAACTGGTGCACTTCGTGAATTTCTGAACACAGAGGCAAATCTGTGTTACCTGCATTTTAAGAGAACACCCAGATGCCTTCCCCAAGATTTCACACTGTCAGTGCTTTAGGCTTGGCTTTTCTGTAGGATTCGTGGCCTAATGTATATTGATTGTATTTTTAATTTTTGTGATCATGAGTGGTTTTCACTCTTTTTATCTATTTTCTGAATAACATATTTTCCATTTTCTGAAGGGCCTATTCCATGCTCTTGCCTACTTTTTTATTGGGTGGTTCACTTTTCTCATTGATATTAGGATTTCTGTACAAATACTGAGTATTGGTTCTTTCTGATATTGTCTCTATCCTGTCTTTGTTTTCATTTTTTAATGATGTTTTTTATTTAATAAAACCTTTTACTTTTAAAGTTTACATTTTCAGACATTTCTTTTCTTTTTAATGTTTTCTGTACAACAAATTCATGAAGATACTCATTTTATTAATTGTTAAAAGGTGTTTTTGGTTTATTTCTTTAAATTTGGATCTATTATTCACCCATGGATTATTATCCTTCCACCTTTGTTGAAAAAATTATTTTCTTAAAATTTTATGACTCAAATGTTATAAATTAAGTGACAATATTTTTCCATTATTCTATTATCATATAATTCTAGCTCTATAATTTTCAGTAATGGGATAATTTTATGATAAAATTACTTATGAGATCTCCTGTAGCAATTTTTTCATATATGTTCTTAAGAGTTTCTATCTTATCTTTATTCCTGTGCATTTCACATACATTTAAACTCAGCCTGTACAATCTATAAAGAAAAATGTTGGTACTTAAACT